TGTGCAATCAGAAGGAGGCGTTCTCCCTTCGCATGGTGTGTTCGTGCGGTAGCAATTCCGCTTTCGCTCTACACTTTGGAAAAATAATTAATAAATAAAACGGCAGCTTAAAATTGTTTTTCCTTTTTTATCGGCTGCTTCGCCTAGTTGGCGCATGAACTTCGGGAGTTTCCACGCGACATTCAACACCCTCTCCCTCTCTGTATGTGCGCTGGGCTTTTACACACGCTAAGCTTTTTTCTGTGCACGATGCGTCAGGGGGGGTTGCCAGCGGGTTCAGCTGCCGCTTGACGCAGATTCGTCAACCACGTGGAACCGTACAGTCTTCTCAGTAGATATATTTCTCCCCACCTCGAAGTCGCATATGCTCTCCTTTTCGCTGTGCACCAGGCAAAATTATAATCGCGTAGAGGAGCAAACAAACGGAGACTCGCGTGGATTTGGTGAAGAGAAAGGAAAAAAATAATGTGCACGGAGGTGTAGGTTTCCAAATGGGAGGTGAAGGGAACGCGATGAAGGAAGAGCGTATCTTATATTATCTTACCTTACGTATTCCTTTCCCAGTGGACACATGAATATACAGAAATGCAAATGGAAAAGACAAAGGGGTCTGCCCTTTGCACCCTCTCGATTTCCGTAACGGTGCGTGCAAGCTCACTCATTCCTATGGAATAATAGAAGCGGTTCTTTTATATGCAAGGGCTGTTAACAAGAAGGGTCACCTTCTGCGGCGGTATGTATCATAAGTTTGTGCGAATATGTGTGGGCTCGTAAGAGGGCTTCCGTCACACGGGGAAGTTGTCACACGTACAAGTAGTATGAATGGCAATAATTGGCTTCACAAAACGGTTTCAAAGAAGAGATTCAAAGAAGAGATTCAAGGAACAGTTTCACGGAACAGTTTCACGGAACAGTATCACGGAACAGTTTTCTTGCTTGTGCAGAAACTGGGGTGGAGGTAGATGCGGCAGTGGAGATGCACTTGTGTAGACGAGCTGGTGTAGACGCGATCGCGTGGACGTAGCAACGTAGCACCAACGCTACGATCTCGCATTAAGGACGGCGGAAGGGACGGGCGCAGGTTCTCGCCACGTGGCATGTACATATATTAGAACATAGGGGCGTAACGTTCTATGCAGCAGGGGCAGACGCTACACGTCCGTGTGGACACACATGTCCGTTCGCAGGGATGCGTCGTGTAGACGCCTCTTCGGAGTGCGGTGGTGACTGAAGCGAATGAGGTATCCTTGCCCTTCACAGGTTAGCAGTCGCGTGTGAGAGAGCCGCGTACGGGATGGTCCTACGCCGTTGCTGATTGGCGCAGCGGTAAAACGGGCAAGTGAAACGGGCATGTAAAATGTGCGTATAATCTGTACAGATACTCCGGACAGATAACGCGCTCGGGGAAAAGAAGGAAAAAAACTCGTTTATGCATTTCAGACACTTAACACGTAAAGGGGGAAAAGAAATGGCGTGAGATAAAAGAAAAATGGAAAGGAAAAAAAAAAGAAAAAAAAAAACAGGAGGACAAAACAAATGAGCATATCAGATGAACAATAAAATAAAGATTCTTCTGATGTGTAAATTTCACTTATTTAACAAATGAGCTAAACGGAAGGAAGTCACGACATGTCACGAAGAGAACATGTGTGAGCTCATCCCATTTCGTTCCTTTTTTTTTTTTTTTTACCATCGTATGAGCAGTGTAGTGTATATACAGGGTGATGCGACATATTGTTTAAAAATGATGAGGAAAGAAAAAAAATGGCTTTATCAAAACCCTGGTGGTAATTTTTTTTTCAAAATTTTCTTTTTCGAACTGTTTAAAGTGACTCTATGACTCTTAATTGGGACAGAACAATGCAGCGTGGTAACTGCCAAACGGATGCCGCTAAAATGAGTGCTTCATTTTTTTATATTCACATTTCTGCACCATTGGCAAGTTCGTCTTTTTGTCCGAGTGATTTATTTACACTATTGCGTGGCTACCTACTTGGTGTGTTTCATCCAATGGACGAATTTAATCCAGGTGCTCCCCTATACACACACATACCATATTCCGTCATTTCTCCATTGCGTATGTGCAGAATGGGGTAGTAGTCTGCAGGGGTGAGCACATCCAATTGGTTTTTTCTTGCTCGTGCTGACATAGATTTGTCTGTTAAACGCACATATAAACAAAACTGTGAAGATAAAAAAAATGGGCCCCTATGGCGGCTCTGCCCAGCTGATCTTTGCCGCCACACGTTGCTTTCAGCCCCCCCAATGGAGAAAGCATAAAACATATGAGGTGTAAAAAAGCAGCGACCATGTGCAGAAAATTTCGGGATGACGAAACAAAAAGGAACTGCCCTCTGCTGCTTCATGGCATGGGCATCACAACCGGACACGACGGAACGTAAATCCACCAAAGTGATTAGCATGTCAGCCAGTCTCCCCTTCACTCGACGTTGCTGTACTTATATACAGAGTTCCCCATTTAAAAGGGAAAAAAAAAAAAAAAAGAGTATTAACAGATTAAACAAGCATTCTTACACGTCCGTAGGCACGAAATTTACCTCTTCCCTTTGTCACTTTTTTTTGTTCCCATCTTTTTCACTTTGTTATATGGAAGGAGTTCAATGGGAAACACCCATCAAAAAAGAATACTCACATTTGTATGGAGCATCCATTTGTATGTCCTTCTCGACTGACCAATATGTACATAACACCAAACCGCCACTGTTTTAATTACACCTGGGGAAAGTAAACTCACGTAAAAGAAAGAAAAACATATGAAACGTTAAAAAAGCGAAAGCTCAAAATGGATAACCTTTACGCACGTGGAGAAGACTCACCATCAAAGTTGTGGTGACTCGGTTGAACGTTTCTTATATTTATCTTACTCCGCTACTTTCTGTTGACCCCACTTTCTTCTTCATTTGTTATGAATTTTTTTTTTTTTTTATGCCGCTTGGTAAAAAAAAAAAAAAAACTGGCACTTTGTACTAAGGCAAAATCAACGGTCCAATTTAGAACTGCTAAGTTTTGATCATAACACGAAGGTACATATGGAATGGAAAAAGAAAAAAAAAAAAAAAAAAGGAAGTTTGATTTACTTGGCCTCTTTGCTTTATGAAACTTCCCGCGGTGAACTTTTAACTAAAATTATGCTGAGTGGAAATTCAGCATTTTCCTGGCTAAGGGGCAGATGGGGAAATCCGCTTCATTGCGTAGCTCATATTATTATATTTTAAACGGGAACTTCTTCTCTGCAAGGATTTGGCCACCGCCACCCCCTTGTTGTTTCATTGCATAGCGGAGGCGCTTCGATGATACGATGATGAGAGGACGCGGATATGCGGAAGATTTCCGCTTTACCCCATCCTGCGTATGCGTGAATTCACATGCGTAGGGTCTTTGTTATCTGCGCGCGGGCAGGGCGCCCCAGAAAGGGAACAAAAAATATATATATATAAACCAATTTATGTAAACATATTTATATTTATACGCGTACGTGCGAACCCCCGCGAAAGTGCGAATTACCCGGCCGGCCTTCTGCTACGTGTTGGCGGGGGGAAACGGCAACTGCGATAAAGCAGCATCTGCGCCATCGGTCATGGCCGAACTGCTAACAAGGGAGGCGTTTGGAAAAAAAAAGGCTCCTTCCATTTAAGGTTTATCGAAAAAGGGGCCGTCAAAGTTGGACAATCACCCTTACGTGTGTACGGGATGCTCACGCGTTAGATAGACTCATCTGCCGAGTACCAGTGAGCCCCAAAAACAAATGGAGAACGAAAACGAGTTGAGCATCGAGGAGACAAACAAGCTGAGGGAGAAGCTGGGGTTGAAGAAGCTCGACGTGGAGGATAAGCAGGACAAGAAAAAGAAAAAGGGTGTCCCCAAAAATCAGCAGGACAACGAACCGAAGGGACGCGCCAAGAATGGGAAGAGTGGAAACAAGGACGAAGGTGAAGAAGATAACCAAGAAGGGGGTGATGCCGAAGAAAGGGAAGACAAAAATGGACGCAGCAGAACGAAAGAACCCCCCAAGGGAAGCAACAAATCGACGAAAACAATCAGCCAGGAGTTTAATGACGACATAGACGATGTGGAGAAGTGGGTAAGCAAAACGAGAAACACCATCGATAAGAAGCTGGCCGATGATGAAGGCATCCAGTACAGTGACGATGACGAGGAGAAAGGAAAAAAAAAAAAAAAAAAAAAGCTAATCGCAACGTGGCTACTGTCCATGCCACGGTGGAACACAAGAATGAAGAACTAACAGATGACATGATTTTGACATTAAAAGATCAACACGTCTTAAATAATTACGAAGAAAAAGACTGCCTAATAAATGAAGAATTAAAAAAAAAAAATGTGAAAAGTTTACTAGCAAAAAATGATGACAGTTTTTGGAAAAAAAATTATTATGACCCCCTCTCGTACTATGACGATACGAATAAGCTGAATGCAGAAGATGGCTCACCTGTGCATATGCTTTCGAAATATGACGAGACGAAGCACTCCTTCGATGTGACTATAAAGTATAATGAGGAGGGCGGGGGAGGTAATAATCACCATGATGATGATTACACTCCGCGTGCTCCAAGGGAGGGAACGAAGGGGAAGGCGAAGGGAGCAAGGACCGCCAAGAGTAGGAATAATCAACTCCATGGTGAGGAAAAAGGGGAAGGCCAGATGCAGCACACCCAGAAAACTCTGTCAATGCGACAAACCACCAGCCCAGATCGTGGCGCCTTCCAGGTGAAGAAGAGAAAAATCAAAAATATCAACAGGCGGAAGAAGGAGGAGGACGCGTGGGCCTTTCTGTATGATGAACCGGAAGGGCAGAATGAAGAGGAGGCGGCGCAGGAAGGAAGACAAGGAAAGGGGAGCACCACAGAGAGGAATACAACTGGGAACAATACAGATGAGAGAAAAACTCGAGGGAACGAACAGAACAACGAAAACGCGAACGTCATAGAGGACGTTCTTAAAAAAATAAGAGACGAACAAAGCAGCATGGATTTTAACAGCTACTTCGATTACGACCTCGGCGAAAATGAAGAAGACAAGGAGCTATACGAACTTCTGCAACAGGGCAATAGCCTGAAAAGGAGAAAAAAGGAAATGGATTACCAGAAGGAGCTCTTAAAATATATAGTTATAAATGAGGACGTCAAAAGGAACCAAGAGGTCAGCGGCGATGTTCTTAAGTTGTCTGACGCGTCCGAGTTCTGCAGAAGCATAACTCTCCCGATGGAGATACAGGAAAGTGAGAACATGGCAAAGCTGCAGAAAGGTGGGGGGGCCCTTCTCGACGCAGATGGAAGTGCATCTCTGGGAGAGGATCGCTTATCCAATCCGCTGTCTCCTCTCAGCGTGAATGTAAGTGACGAGATGTTAAGATCAACTGATGGGCAAAAAGGAAAGGGGTACACCACCAAGGGACGCCAACCAAACGGTGGCGATAACGATAATGGTAACGATAACGGTGAAGATGACAACAACATGAACTTGAGCGATGACGCATTCTCCCAAGATGGTGTGTCCGAAATTTTTAACGAAATTAAACTGGATGAGGGATTGTACGGAGCGCTGGAGTATTTAAAAACAAAAGGAGAATTAAATATGGAAGAGAAAATTTATCGGAATCCGGAGAACAGACCGTTGCATATGTCCACGTCGAAGCATGACATAAAGTTGGACTACAAGAACGACTCAGGCAAAGTGATGACGCCCAAGGAGACGTTTCGGTACATTTCCTGGATTTTTCACGGGAAGAAACATGGGAAGAATAAAATGGAGAAGAAAATGAGGAGGATGGAGATCGAGCGCCGCTTTAAGGAGGACCCAATGGGTTCCCTTCCCACGCTCAACGTCCTGAAGAAGGTGCAGCAGGTCCACAAGAAGTCGTACTTCACGCTGTCGAGTAATAACTGATTGGGGGAGAGAAGTGGAGATGGGGTGAAGCGCAGTGGTGCAGAAGCGGTTAAGCGGAGGGGCGAGGTAACCATTCTTACACGTGCAACCGTTCTGTACGCACACGGGGATGTGACTCTTTTTGAAATTCCCCTATTCATGACCCCTCATTCTTCGCCCATGTGTGCAGAATGCTGCTCCCATGCTGCGCTATTAGGCCACTTTTCCCCTTGTGAGGCTCCTCATCAGAAGGATACACTTCTCACACTTTGTGTCGATTGTTTGTCCCTGCCGCGGCTTCTCCGATTGCACACAGCGCTGTGTCAATTTTTGTTCATCCATTTTTCCCCATTTCTGCACACATTTGGCTATTTTTTTTTTTTTCCGTTTTGGCTGTTTGTTCATATCTTTTTCGAAGCGATCTTCGCGCGGTTCCCCTTTTTTAGTGCCCCCATGTGTGCGTACAGACATGTACCCCTGTATTTGCATTCGCACGTATGTGCCCATTTTTCCGTATTTACGCGAAGACAAATCGATTTTTAGGTAAATCGTTAAAAAAAAAAAAAAGCATCACTACAGAGTTGTGCGGAGTTTAAAAGGGCATCGTTACAACGTCGCATTAAATTAGGCAAAAACGTCCATGTGGCCACAACATGTACCGACACTTGCGTGGTTCGTTTGGGGGAAAACACAAGGAAGGTGCTCCCCCCCCCTTTTCTTCACCCTGGTGACCCCTCTCGCCCGTCAGGACTTCTTCCTCTTTTCCTGGATGTACCTATCCAGCTTTTCGTTAAACTTCTTGCAGATGCTTATTTGTTCAAAGAGGTGAATTAGCAGCGGCTTGCCCATGATGAGCACGCTGTTGTACTCCTCCTGGGGGGTGGAAAAAGAAAAGGGGAAGTGGGACCGAGTGGACAGCATTCGTTCGGGGTTTGCCAAATGGACATTAACGAATTCGACCTCACTCTTCCTCTTCTGTACATCACACAAACGCAGATAGACACAAGCAAAAAAAAAAAAAAAAAAAAAAAAAAAGGAAAAAAAAAAAAAAATCTAGCTTATAATCTGCCCCCGTGTTGGGGCAGCGCCGAGGCTTACCTGCTTGGCTTGTATCTCCTCTTTAATCTTGGACAAATTTTGCAGGATCTTGTTCCGCTTCGCCTGCTCCGGAATGCACGACGTGTAGAAGAGGTTAAGCAAATAGTTCACTTTCACGTGGTAATCCTTCACAATGTCGAGGATGTGCTGCTCGTACTCGATCGTGCCTATGAGCATGGACTGGTTGCTCTGGCACTTCTTCGTGTTGGAGACGAATAGGAGTCTCCCTACGGGGGGGTAGGTGAGAGCAGGAAATGAGGAGATCTGGAGGATAAATGCACGAAATATGGAGGAACAAAATGGGAAAACTCCTTCCTTTTGGTGACGCACTGAGAAACCAATTACGCCAATCCGCTGACGCGAGCCGCTTCGAGGCAACCCACCTATGTTGAACAAGTCGGAGTAGTTCTTCCTGCCGGTGTTCTGCTTAAATGTGTTCATCTGCTCCAGGAGCGTGGTAAACTTCTCATTTAGGCGGTCCGCAGCCTGAGCCGACTCTTCATTATCTGCCTCACTATCACAAGGCCGTTTTTTTTTTTTTCTCATGATTTGAAATTGCAGCTCTTTTTTTTGCTTCATAGGATTCAAATCGGTGTCCTCAATTTTGTTTTTCAAATCTTCGTAAAAAGTGTCGAGGGTAAATTTTTTGTCCTTTATCATCCCAATGCAGTAATTATTAAATTTGTTAATTAGGAGATTGTGGGAGTTCCTCCCTTTGGAATACTTCTCATTCGTGAATAGTCCAAACCCCTGGGCACTCTCTTCATTGAAATAGTAGTTGTTGTCAAAAAGGATGTTTTTTTTTCTGTACGACTTGGTAGACAAGTATTCCTTTAAAATGCATTTTTCCAATGTCCCTTTTATGTCTTGATTTGGATTATCCATGTCGTATGACAGGGACAGATTTTTGTAATATGTGTTTTCTTCTTCATCCGTAGTGCGGGTTACATCCCTGCGATCATCGGTCGTATGCGCAGTTGTATCCGTAGCGACCCCTCCTGGCCTGTTCTGCTGGTCACTCTTAATGGAGAAGAAATTTTTATTCCCCATTATGTCCTTCTCATTTTTATCGTAAAAGAATAAATGGCTATATTTGTTGTTAAAGAGAAAGAACCAGAATTTGCTTTCGTTCAGGATGTTGTTGGCCATGTAATAATCGTACAGCTTCTTCAATTCTTTGTTTTCTGACAGAATGACTCGGCTTATCTGTTTGTTAATTTCGACGCTCTTTGCCATTTTCTGTTCCTCCGTGATGAATAAGGGTTCCTTTAGAATCCCCTCCTCCGCACTGGAGCTGATATTTCTGTACTCGTATATGTCGCTTTTGTGCATTTTGTAAAATTCTTCTTCCGTTAGTATGTTGTTTTGGATACACATTTGGTATAGGCCCTTGAGCTGTGCGTCCGTCTCGAACATTCGGTGCAGACTGCTTAGCGACTCGTTTTCCTCGGCGTTATCTTCTGATATATGGCTTCCCTCGCTATGGTCACTCTCCCCATTTTTTTCACTTAGATGGTCGCGTGTCTTTGTAGTAGAGTCCCCTTTAGCTGCTATGTCTTTGTCCTGCCGGCAGGGTTCATCGTCTGCATTTTTTATAAAATGTGAGGAGGCAATCTCTTTCGGGGGAACATCTTCTATACTAACATGATGGATATTTTGATCCCCTTTTTGTTCTTCTGCGACCCCTCTGGATTGATCTTTTGTGAGTGGCCCAGAGGATTCCTCATACACTTTATACTTGTCTCTGATTAAGTGCAAGTTAAATTCTATGTATATATGATTCTTTATGTTGTCCTTATTGAGTGTATTAATAATCTGACATATCTTGTTGTTGTGTTCATCATAGAAGAATTCAAAAATATAGGACTCCGTGTTGTTATAGTCATGAAAACAGAAATTATTCTTCTTGTTCGTTATGGAAAATGTGAATCGAGTTTTACTTTTCTTTTTTGACTTCTCCGTTTTCTTCCAACTGAATATGCATAGCTTCAAGTCAATGTCATCAATGAGGAAAAGGGAGTTGCTTTGGGCCTTTTCCTTTTTCGTTTGCTCAGATATGTATACTAGGTATCTGCTCGTTACGTACAGCTCCCCCTTCTCGTTATTGTACAGCACTTCGAACGAGGCATGGACTTTTTCTTCCTCCATGGAGGGAGGGTTGTCTCTATCTGTTAAGTGGTTGCCTATTTTGGGGGGTCCCTTTGGAGCGATCTTCCCTCGAGAGGGGAAAAAGAGTCTGGCAAATGTATAGTTACTCGCACACAAAACTGCCAAGTTAGAAGCTACTTCTCCTCAATTTTTCAGCCAAATGAGTGCCCGACACGGGGGTAAAACGGGCAACCCCTTGGTATGCCTCAAAAAAGGAGGACACTCGAACAAACCCCTACGCACGTGCCAAAGTGAGCACGTTGTGTTGAGTCCGGGGTGCCATCTGCGCGACACAGGAGGAAGCGATAAAGGGAAGGTGAAAGTGCATCATTCGGTTTTTTCTTTTTTTTTCTTCCCAACTTGTGCTAACCTCTCTAACCTTTTTATTATTCCACTTAATGGCGTTTTTATTTTTTACTGCGGTTTAGAGTTCAAATGGGGACAAAACAGGTTGACAAAAAACAGCGCCGAAAAAAAAAAGGGAGAAGGCGGAACGGCATAAACGTCGCTCCGAAGGAGCAAAACGGCAAAAAAAAAAAAAAAAAAGAGACTCCCTATTTGGGTTTCTCCTCCACCGAAGTAAACACTTGCGGGATAAAATACCACAAAGGGGGGTTGCAGGGAGAGACCCATTCAGAGAGAGATTGAGGCCAGTTTCTTCCAGGTGGGTGTTGTGATGACCCCCCTCCGTAGGAAAAAAAAAAGTCAGTCCTCATTATCATTGCAGTCGAACTTCCTCCTGATGGTGAAACTCGAGGGGGTGTTTTTATATTCAATATTCTCCACCTTCTTATGGGCCACGAGGAGGTGTTTGCTTTTGCTGACAGCCTTTTCGTGAAACGACCTCCACTGCTGCGTTTTATTTGTATATTCTTTATTTATCAATTCACTTTTTTGTTTTTTTTTGAGAGCTATTCTTTTTTTCTTTTTTCTCAGTTGAACTTTTAAAGAGTCGTTTTCCTTTACGATTAAATTTTCCGGAATCTTATAGCCTGCCGGGGTGACTATTTCTTTCACTTTTTTTTTTTTTTTAATTCTGACTTGGTCGTTCTTTACGTACTCGCTGGTGTTGTATCCGATGTAGTTGACGAGGAATGAGTCGCCCATGTTCTTCAAGACGATGCAGTCGTACCAGAGGCTGCAGTGGGGGGAAATGAAACGGGGTGTGTCATTAGGGGTGTAATTAGCAGTGTCATTAGGGGTGGATGATTAGTTGCTCGGTTGGCGCACTCAACAGGTTGACCCGTACTGACGCTCAATGCGTTGAATATGTTTTTTTCTCGCAAAAGGGGATGGGAACGATAATTGGGTCCTTATGGGAGAGGTGCTTCCTTCCTTTTTGGCAACCCGGTTTCTCCTCCTTCTAATTCCCCCTTTTCCTTACCCGTCCTTCTTGTAGAGGGCCTGGAACTGGCTGTTCTCGGCGAGGGCAGACTCCGTCAGTACCTCGTTCAGGAGGACATATTTGGGGGGAATCATAATCTGCTCATTGTTTTCAAATATACTTATTAACAGCTGCTCTATGTCATTTTCTTTAACGACGTTCTGGATGAGTCCGTACACTTTCTTGCTTTCATAGATGAAGCTACATGTTCTCCCAATAACTGCGCTCGCTTCCTTTGTGGCGCCTTCGTTTGGATCCTCCGCAGGTTCTTTCTCCAGGGTCGGTTCAAGCAAGTCGCCTTCCGCTTCGTCTAAAAAGGGGGGAAAAAAAAGGGAACTAATAATATGGGTGACCATTCTGTGTGCAGCATTTTTGTATATACAAATGCTTAGGGTTACACATCTTCAGGGGCGCTCCCCATGGGGTGCGAACGTATCTATATATACATATATATATGCATACATATGTATACATATATATATGTTTACTGTCCTCCCCCTATTTGCCTCCTACTCACTCTGCTTCTTGTAATTAATCAAATCAAGAGTCAAATTTATGACCTCCAGCATGTCACATTCCAATTTTTTCAGATTCTTAATTTGTTCATCTTCTTCTCCGGTGGCCTGTTCATATTTTTTTATTTCGTCTCTTACCAAGGCTAGCTGTTTTTCATACTCCGTTATTTTGCCCTACAATGGGGGGAGATGAGAAAAAAAAAAGAGGATTAGTTACATTTGAAGGCCACGCTTTGGGGGGGGGGGGGGGGGGTAAGTACCGATGGCACTTGGACGTCATGCTGCACCCGTTACGGAGGTAGCAGGTAACATATTGTTGACTTTCCAGGAAGACAATGCTTCCCCCTCCTTTGTACATTTGCTTATGCGGATGAACCTTTCCACGGTTCCACTGCGGGAACGCTAGCACAGTGTTGGTCGCACTTTTGAGTCTTTTTCTTTTTTCTTTTTTTGGCTGGGGGATAAGCGCATAACTACGTGGTGTGTCAAGCGTGTAACCACATAACTGCCAATCGTGTAATGACGTGACTGCCAATCGCGTCGTCCTATGGGTGCTAATCTTGTCGCAGGAAACATACCTCTAACCCCTCCAAGGTTTCGTTAAATTCCTCCATCTCACTTGTTGGGGTGGATTCTCTAGGGGGATATCAAAAAGAAGTGTGGAGTTACGATGAGCCCGTGAGGTGGAGGGGGAAAAGAAACATCTGCGTAAGTATAGGCGGGAGGATATATTACGTGACGGAAAACGATATCTTCTCCGTCGCTAAAGATCGACAATGCAGATGGGATAAACAGATTTGTTTGCTCTTCTCGAACCATAACCCGTTTTCGCACAACCCCCCGCCGCTTTACCTTGGTCTCTAATTCTAACGCGACCCTTTTCTTCTCGCCAAAGCATCACCTAGTTCATGGGCCATAGCGCAAACGATACATTTTTCATCCTGCCCTGTTAGGATTTGCTTCAAACATGGAAAGCAGGGTGGAAAAAAAAAAATAAAATAAAAAAAGGAGTAAAAATTGATAAATGGAGTAAAAAAAGGATAAAGGGAGCCAAGCGGAATGGAAGAAGCAGCAAGATGGGAGAAATTATTTTCGGAAAAAAACAGGCAATTTGGGGAAGCAGAAAAGTTGGGC